GTGTGAGTTAGATATATCAAACTCCCCACAATACTGCGATATAGCTTACCATCCAGAAGTAGCTCACCAGAGTAACGTGTCAACTTCAAATTTTGTTCCATAGGAGTAGCACAAGGAGCATAGGCATCCATATGCGCCTCTTCTAAGAGATCAACAATGTATTTATGCTGGCAAACATGAATACCTGCGGCAGAGCGATCAAATTCCAGGCCCAAAAAATAAGTTAATGTCCCTAGTTCCTTGAGATTGAACGCATCACGAAGAGAGGCAGCGAGAGATTGGATGCCTTCCTGATCATTACCCTGATAATCATATCATCTACATAAATAAGGAGGACAGTAATACCCCGACCCGTGCGACGTAGGAAGAGAGACGGATCATTAGCACTCTGAACAAAACCAGCTCGAAGAATAGTAGCCTGAAACTTCTCGAACCAAGCACGAGGAGCCTACTTCAGGCCATAGAGGGACTACAGAAGACGACAAACCATGGACTTATCGCCCTTGGCAGAACCTGGAGGACGCTCCATATAGATCGTTTCCTTCAACTCCCAGTGTAGGAAGTCATTCTTGACATCTAACTGAACCAACGGCTAGTCATGCATTGCCGCGACGGCAATAAGACTACATACCGTTTGCATTTTAGCAACTGGAGCAAACGTTTCCTCATAGTCTACTCCAAACTGCTGTTTAAATCCTTGAGCCACAACCCGAGCCTTCTCGCGTTCAATTGAGCCATCAGGATGACACTTCAGTGCATACACCCACTTACTGCCGATAACCGTGTACTCCGGACGTCGAGGCACAAGATCCCACGTATATTGCGCCTCTAACGCTTGAGTTTCAGTATCCATGCATGGCTGCTTCCCATCGCGCAAGACCTTGAGCTTCTTTATACGTGGCAGGGACGAAATGGGAAGGGACTACTGAGTAGGCAACAAAGTCTGAGTGGCTGGCAGGGGGTTGTCACTTATTAGCCCGATTAGACCTTCTTAGAGGAGGAACCTCCGCAGCCTCAGAAGTAGAAGAACCCGACGTGGACTGCGAGGAAGAGGAGGAAGCCGAGGTGGTCATGGAGGGTGACGAGGACACAGGGTGAGAGGAAGAACCCGAGGAATCCATGGAGTGAGAGGAGGATGACGAATCAGACGTGGACGTCAACAAGCTTGTATGGGGCGGCGTAGGAGGAGGTTCCATATCAGTCGGGTCGGGCGAAGCTGGAGCTGCTGGGAATGAAGGTAATGGTGCCACGAAATCCCACTGTGAGGTGTCAATAGATGTGTCTGAAGCATAATATGGGTTGTGTTCCAAAAACACAACATGACATGTGATGCGAAGACGACGAGCAGCAACATCATAGCAAGCGTAGCCCTTGTGTTTGTCACTGTATCCGACAAACACACACTTGATCACCTTGCCAAATTGTGTACACACCATCTGGATAAATTCTCGAGCAACATCAATCAACTCAGATTTCTGTTTAAGAAAATAAACCCACGTGAAGCCAGTGACCTGATCAACGAAGAGATCAAAATAGCGAAACCCCAAACGAGCAGTTAGTAAGGCTGGTACCAAAAGACCGCTGTGAAATTTTAGCCTCCACACAATGAACAAAATCATGATCAGGGATAGTGCGAACTGTGCCAGACAACCACTTATTTTTAAACATATCAAATAATCACGACTTATCAGGGTGTCCTAATCGATAATGCCAGAAATCCCAATCCGACAGTCGTACTGTATACCTAGTTTTATAAAAAGATAAAGGGGAGCGGGGCAACAATGCCACAGTTGTAGAACGTGTATCGCTTGCGGCTTCACTAGGCAACTCAGGCTGTCGTCCTCGATCAACAGGGTGTCGAGAAAAGTCATCAAGCATATACACCCGTCCATGCTTACTCCCTCTCTCGATCTCCTGGCCCGTCATCATGGCTTGCACAGCGCAACCATGAGCATTAAACACTACTCTACAACCCTCATCGGCAAGTTGGCCCACTGAGACCAACTTTGGAACTAATTTCGGAACATAAAATGTACGTGGCAGCTCCATGTGAGAATTCCGAACAGTCCCAATACCATGTACAGAAATATGAGATCCATCAGCTACTTGTAACGTAATACCAGAACTAGGACGAACATGAGTAAGATATGACAGATCACTGGTCATGTGATTCACAGAAGCGGAATCATGATGCCAAGGAGAAAGAGGTCGAGAGACTGTACCAGTGGCGAAGGTCGCCATCGCAGATGGTGAGGCCATTTCCTGCAAAGCTTCACGTATTAAGAGGCGAATCTCATCTGAGGAAACTCCAGCAGAGGATGTAGTGGAAGTAGGCGGAGCATAATGAGTAGCATAAACATTGCTAGAGGATCCACGACCAGCAGGAGACTTGTAGGTAGCAGCCGAATGATTGTCAGCTTGAGAGACAACCAGCGAGCTAGACCCAGGTCGAGCTCGTCCACGACGAGCAAGGACGGAACAATCTCCAATCACATGTCCCGAGGCTTTGCAGTAGTTGCACACAACACGCTTGGGACAACGAACCTGAACGTGGCCAGGTTCCTTGCAGTGGTAGCAAATGATCTCGCCCGAAGGAGTTCGTCCGAACTGAGGACGGCCCGACTGCACAGCAAACACCACACCTGAATCAGAAGCATGAAGATCAAGCTTTTCTTGACTAAGAAGGCGCGTTTCCTCCCGTACCAGTTCACCCAGCACTTCCTCGATGGAACCAACATTCTGGTGAAGGAGAGAAGACCGAATACCCTCCCGTATCGATATTGGTTCCAAAATGTATACAACCTGCTTTTGATTGGGGATTTTGATGGGCCATTCGTGTTTTCGACATGAGAAGTGGTTAGTTGAATTTGCTATAGCTTTTGCCTTCTCTATTACTCTCGGCTTCTTCGTTTTCCCTACTTACTCTTCTCTATAATGGGTGTCCATTGGCGTATCTTCTTCATATTCATTATGCTGCAAGTCATGTTTTCTTTCAAACTTTGGCCTAATTGATGAGGGTTTTATGCTTGCTGTGTCCTGTAACTTCCAATGTTGTCGTAGCACTATGAATTGCATACTTATAGTTCATTCCTTAGGTTAGTTGGCTTAGTTAGTGATCAGGCCAAGGAAAATATATGTTCTCCCACCTACAACTTTACTCCGTGGATGTGTGGTAACATTTAACTCATGCATTCTTACTGGTAATTAATCACTTACAGCCAAATCAATGATTATTTACTCAATTCCTTAATCTGATCAATAATTTACAGCACGCACCCACATATGGAATCTGGATACATACATATACCCATGCATTTTCTTAAACCAACATTAAGGCCGTAAAGGAGATGTGATTCTTGCTCGACCATCATCTGATCGGCGGAAGGGAACATGGGTTGTGAAACACTGATCGGGTTAGTAGAGGACTAAACTACGATAACCATTACCGCTAGAGAGAACAACAATGTCGCGATGATGTGCACTTCTTCAGTTTTGGGTTCTGCCTCAATGAAAATTGCCTCTTGGGTTTCTAATATTGTCAGTAGGCGCAGTGGCGGACCTAGGATTGTTGGAGAGGTGTGTCGCCGCTAACATAGAATAATAATTAAATAAAAAATTAAGTAGAAATTAAAAGAAATTAATTTATGAAGTTCACACTGTCATTTTACAACGAATCACGATGACTTTTCATCTGTTGAAATGTCTCTAAAATACATTCATCACTTATGCTGCAAAGCAAATGTTTTTCAATATACACAACTTAACAATCATTTATAAACAATGATATTATACTCTAACCCCCAATGTGTGAACCGCAATCCCCAATTCACTAACCTAACATAAGATTCATTTAATCTTGAAAAATGAAAATCAATGATTCTGATTCGTCGAAATTATTGTTAAGTTTCATTTTAAGATTGACCAAATTTTGCAGTTTGGGTTAGAAAATTAGGGATTGAGGTTCACCCATTAGAGGTTAGGATATAGGATCATGCCCCAAAGTCCGATTAATTATTTATCTAAATAGCAAAACCCAATTATGACAATAAATTTCCATAAAGACAATGGAGTTGTGTCGGATACAGTGATTAGAGGTGTGTCGGAAATCCCGAGATCAAAATTTTAGTACCGACGAATTAGGGGTCTTTCACAAAATTTTCGGACGGAGGTGTGTAAGATGACAGACCTGCCTTGTGCCTTGGTCCGCCCCTGAGTAGGCGATAGGTTATCCACAGATGTTCAGGAAGTGGAACACGAATGTTTTTTTTTTTTTTAAACTTTCAGCGATGCACTGCAAACAGGCCATAAGCACTATTAAAGTCACTTAATCATAGCAAAACTAAGTGCCATTATTCTTTATCTCTTGAATCACTTAATTATTGCCCTTCTGTTAATTGATGTCTCACTGTTCTTTGTTAAGGCGTGCCGGGTTTAGGACAACTGAGGAAGTAGAGAGAATAAGTGAGGGGGGACAAAGAATTTGCAGACAAGGGATGGCCATCAACGGCGAACTAACATGAACCCTGGCGGTACTGCTTTGTTCTTTTTCTTTCGTCCTGCATTCGTATTGCTCAGTTTTCACAGTTGTTTGTTTTGTTCTCTGCTATTACCATTCTCAGTTTGCGAGGATATCAATGGTAGCTGTTATTGTCAACCAAGTGAAGAAATGGAGTTGCAGAGAAGTCCTGGAGCTGTCTGGATTCATTCGAAGGAGAAGAAGTTTCGTCTGAAGAAACGTTCTGAATTGAGTTTCATGATGTTTATTTAAATGCTACAAACGCTGTCGTTTTATTTCATTTTATTAGCCGTTGTTAAATTTTGTTACGGTTTGTAATTGCCAATGGCTTTCTGCCAATTGGCAAACTCTGGAATGATTCTGATTAGCAGTATGCACTGCTATATAATGGAAGCAGTGGCAGCTCTCCAAGTTTGAGGGTTTGCTAATTCTCCAAACCTAGAATTGTTATGGTATCAGAGCGGTCAAGCAACTAGGGTAAACCATGAACACGTCGCCGGGTTCGACACCGCCGCCAGGTCCTGGAAATTGCTCAGGTTCTTCGGGAGGAAATGGATCTCAAGGACCTCAGGCAGCACAAGGAGCTCAAGCAGCAGATGGCACTGGTCCCCGTGCTTTCCAGTTCCGAACATTTTATGAGCAGCAGCAACAACAACTCTTTGCTGGAGCCAGAAACGATGTCATAACCTTCGGTAAGCCCTACTACTTGAATCCCAATGAAGCACTGAATCAATCCATAGGATCAGAGGTCTTCGATGGTAGTAATTACACTATGTGGAGTCGTTCAATGATTATGGGTTTGAAGATGAAACACAAACTGGGTTTCATAGATGGTTCCATTCCTATGCCTCCTAGAACAAGTCCAAATTTCATATTGTGGGATGGTTGTAACATTGCTGTACTGTCTTGGATTCTCAACTCCTTGAACAAAGATATAAGGAGATCTGTTATGAGTCATGTGAATGCCAGGGTTCTATGGGAGGAATTGAAAAGAAGATATGCAAAACCAAATGCAATTAGGATCATTAATTTGGAGGATGATATTCACAAATGCAAGCAAGGAGCTCAAACCATAAATCAATATTACACAGAGAGATCAAAGGATTATGGGAAGAGTACTCACAGTTCAGCCCCATAGTGCCTTGCAATTGTGCTCCAGGAAACCCTAATCCATGTGATGCAGTGGTTGCTTACACTGAGAGAAGGAAAAAGACTATTTGATCCGGTTTCTGAGAGGTTTAAACCCTGATTTTGAGATAATCAAAACCCAGCTGCTCTCACAAAAACCTTTGCCTACTGTCTCAGAAGCTGTTGATGATTTATTACTGTATGAGCAGAAGCTGAAAGGAGAGAAAGGGAACACTAGGAAGAAGGCACAGAGTGTTGCCTTAGCAGCAGGAGCACCACCTCAGGAATCAGGGCAGAGAGGTCAAGGAAGAAAATATTGTATCTATTGTAAAAGACCTGGACATGTTGTTGATGAGTGCTGGAGAGCAAAAAGGAAGAAGGAAGCTGATTCAAGCAGTAATTCTGGAGGATCTCAAACAAATGCACAAAGGTTTGCAGGATCAGTCTCTCAAGCAAGCTCAGGAGATTCTTCCACTGCGGTAAGCTATAACAGTGATACACCATATGGAACTCCTGTAAGCCAGGCAAAAACTGTTGCTGCTTTTACTCCTGAGAAGATGAACAGGTTAAGGTTAATGATGCAAGCTGGTGCTAATCTAAGTCCCTCTCCTCCTCTCTCACCCTCTATCACACACAATACCTACTTTGTGTCTCAATATTTGCCTCCTTTCCCCAACCACTCAAGTAAATTCATTCTTTCCTCTCACACTGAACACATCCACTTAGATCCCATTACATTCTGGATCCTTGACACAGGAGCCTCGGATCACATATCATGTTCTTTATCACTGTTTACTGAACATAAGACAGTACATGATATGTTTGTTTATCTACCTAATACCACAAAAGTTCTAGTGACTCATGTAGGAACTGTCAGATTACCCTCAGGACTTCTTCTATATAATGTTCTATTTGTTCCTAGCTTCTCCTTTAACCTTGTGTCAGTGAGCAAGCTCACTCATGATCATCCATTAGCCTTACATTTCCAATCTGATTTCTGCCAAATCCAGGACCTGCTAAGCATTAGGATGATTGGTTTAGCAAAAGAGAATAGAGGCCTGTACCAGCTCACCTTTTCCAAACCAGTCAAAGACCCACCACTTCCATCACAACCTCAAGCATCCAGTTCCAGTTCTTTCAATTTTTGTCCACAACAAGTAGATTTATGGCACTGGCGTTTAGGGCATCCTAGTAGAGATAGGATTTCTTTGTTGCAACAAACAAATTCTTCTGTAACTAGTCCTAAACTCAAACATTGTGATGTCTGCCACTTTCCATAACACAAGAAATTTCCCTTTCCTGTTAGCACCAGTGTTGCATGTGATTTATTCCAGCTAGTTCATGTGAACATCTGGGGGCCTTTATCTGTTGTTTCTTATGATGGATATGCATATTTCTTAACTGTTGTGGATGATCGTTCAAGGGCTGTATGGGTTTTCTTGATGAGACACAAAAGTGAGGCTAGACCTCTTCTTAAAGGTTTCTGCACTTTGGTACAAATCCAGTTTGGTAAAAATGTTAAGGTGATCAGGAGTGACCAAGGGCATGAGTTTAATATGTGTGAATTTTACATGGAACATGGGATAGAACATCAGATGTCCTGTATTGAGACTCCAGAACAGAATGCACGAGTTGAAAGGAAGCACCAACACATTTTAAATGTTGCTAGGTCCCTTAGATTCCAGTCAGGACTACCCCTAATCTATTGGAGTGACTGCATTCTGCATGCCACCTATCTCATTAACAGACTGCCCACTCCAGTCCTTGACAACAAGTCTCCATATGAGATTTTATACCAGAACCAACCTCCTCTTGCTCACCTTCGTGTGTTTGGATGTTTGTGCTATGCTAGCACTCTGATCAGTGGTAGAACTAAGTTTGCACCACGTGCTAGACAATGTGTGTTTCTCGGGTTGCCAGTGGGAATTAAGGGCTATAAGTTACATGACCTGCAAACCAGGGGAATGTTGTTTTTCATGAATCTATACTGCCTTTTCATGAATCTTCAGATACAAATTCCTCACCTTCTTCTGCAGAAGACTTGTCTTATCCTTCTTTCCCCATTGTCACTCCTGCACCACCTGTCTCAGTTCCCATTGCCAATACACCAGCTGTTGTTGACTCAGCCTGTGATTCAAGGGGGGATCATAGTAATAGTAGTTCTGAGCCTTCGATACCTTGTGATTTTTCATTTGGGAATAGAAGTGATGAGTTTTCTCCTGGCACAGAACTTGAACCTGAACTGGAACCACAGGCAGATTATCAGGAACCCACTGGTAGGCCTACAAGAAGGATTGTCCTTCCATAGAGGTATCAAGATTGTGAGCTGGACCCTCAATTGCAGTTTGGAGCTTTTGGAGCTGGTGTGACTAGGCATCCAGTCACTTTCAATTTAGATCATCTCAACGCAGTAGACAAAGCTTATGCATTGAGTATTCTAACTTGTGTGGAACCTAGAAGCTACAGAGAAGCCATCCAAGTCCTGGAATTGAGGAGGGCAATCAATGAAGAACTTGCAGCACTGGAGGCCAATCAAACGTGGAAAATTGTGCCATTACCCCCAGATAAACATGTAGTGGGGAGTAAGTGGGTTTTTAAACTCAAACTGAAGCCAGATGGAACAATAGAGAGGTATAAGGCCAGGCTGGTTGCAAAAGGCTTTACTCAGGTATATGGAATCGATTTCCTTGATACATATTCACCTGTTGCAAAAATAAACTCAGTGAAAGCCTTATTAGCAATAGCACTAGTAAAAAACTGGACTCTTGAACAGTTAGATGTTTCCAATGCATTCTTGCATGGAGACTTAACTGAGGAAGTTTACATGGAGAACCCTAAGGGGGTGGAAATACCAGGATCAAGCAATATAAGAATGGCCTGTAGGTTAAAGAAGTCATTGTATGGTTTAAAACATGCTTCAAGGCAGTGGTTTTCCAAGTTGACAGGATTCCTACTGAAGAATGGGTTTTCACAGTCAAAATCAGATTATTCTCTGTTTACTAAGTGGATCCATTATAGAATTGTGGTGGTGCTAGTCTATGTGGATGACATTATAGTTGGGGGTGATGCGCAGAAGGATATAAATCAGATTAAAAAGGCATTGTGTGGTGAGTTTAAGGTTAAGTTGCTTGGTCCACTGAAATACTTCCTGGGATTGGAAGTGACAAGAACAGCAGGAGGCTTGGCAGTATGTCAGAGGAAATATTGTATGGAGTTGTTGAATGATACTAGCTTTCCGGAGGCTAAAGGTTGCTTATCTCCATCTGAGCCTAAGGTGAAACTTGCAGCAGGACAAGGTTGCAAGATGGAAGATCCGGAGATGTATAGAAGGCTGTATGGAAGGCTACACTACATCACCATAACTAGACCTGATTTAACATTCTCAGTTCAACAACTTTGCCAATTTCAGAAAGACCCTTATAGTGATCATTTACAGGCAGCTCATAGAGTGCTTAGATACCTCAAGACATTTCCAGGACAAGGAATTTATTTCAGTAGCAAAGCAGAATTGAAACTCACTGGTTCTTGTGATTCTGATTGGGCCAGCTTCCCTGACACAAGGAGATCCACCACAGGCTATTGCACCTTCTTTGGTAGATCCTTACTCACTTGGAAATCCAAGAAACAAACTACAGTTTCTAGATCCTCATCTGAAGCAGAATACATGGCTCTTGCTTTGCTTGTTTGTGAGATTGAATGGCTAAGAAGTTTGTTAGCAGAGTTAAGTGTTGAGATACCATTACATGTGACTATCTATTGTGATAACAGGTCTGCAATTCATATTGCCGAGAACCCGGTGTTTCATGAAAGGACAAAGCATATCGAAATCGATATGAATGTCACCAGAGAAAGGATCAAGGATGGATTAGTTCAACTGCAACATGTCAGCACAATCAATCAACTTGCTGACATCTTCACAAAGAGTCTTCATAGAGTGCGAGTTCAAGAGCTACTTGGCAAGTTGGGAGTCTTGACAGAAGTGAAGAAATGGGAGTGTCAACCAAGTGAAGAAATGGAGTTGCAGAGAAGTCCTGGAGCTGTCTGGATTCATTCGAAGGAGAAGAAGTTTCGTCTGAAGAAACGTTCTGAATTGAGTTTCGTGATGTTTATTTAAATGCTACAAAAGTTGTCGTTTTATTTCATTTTATTAGCCGTTGTTAAACTCTGTTACAGTTTGTAATCGCCAATGGCTTTCTGCCAGTTGGCAAACTCTGGAATGATTCTGATTAGCAGTATGCACTGCTATATAATGGAAGAAGAGGCAGCTCTCCAAGTTTGAGGGTTTGCTAATTCTCCAAACCTAGAATTGTTTATTAATACTGGAGTCAAGTGCATTAGGTCAGAGGGAGATATTGGTGGGATTTTGCATCTTCAAAGTCACCATCCTCCATGGATATATAGTGTTGAGCTTATTGTTACTCTTCCCCGTGGAAGCTGCCAAAAGAACAACGAAGCAGCCTGTAGTGGTGAGCTCTTATGCTTGAATTTTTTTTCTTATGCACCTCACTATATTCTTTCTTCGCGCTTCAATTATGGGCGAAAGTGTGATAGTTGAGCCTGAAGAGGGTGTTCTCAATTTGTACACATTGTTGGAGCTTCCAGGGGCTAAGATCAGGTGATTAAGGGGACCCCCCTTAGTCAATTGCCTAAGTCGATCTGAGTCCTTCAAGCTCATTAAAATCTAATGGCTCCAATTAATTCAATTTAAGGAAGGATAATGTAGTAATTGCATGATTATTTTATTTGTTAATTGTTAATAATTAAAATCTTTATTTCCCCATGTTTCATCCCCGCACCGACGAGTGATGTCCCGCGTCCCCTGTGCTCCAGCGTCCCCTGTGCAACTCTGCCGGCGATGTTCCATCTCCGATCACCTCTTCCCGCCAGCCAAGGAACCGCCAACCAGGTCCTCTCCTGGCGGTCATTTTTTGTATGGTGATTTTTCCAACCTCCTCCTCCTCCTCCCCCGCCGCCTCCTTCGCCACTGCCAGGGCGGTCATCTCTGTAGAATCCGATGAATAATCATATTCGGCGATTTCCCAAATTGAAGAAACAAAGGGGGTATTTCAGACAATTTCGGAGGTTTAGGGGCTTACCCGCCGCCGTAATTGAGGTCGGACGCCGCCGCCGCTGCTGAAAACCTCGTTCTCCCGACGTACGTCCGGAGGAATCCTTTCAACGTCTTAAGACAGAAGCGGCTTAGCGTGTTGCATCTGGAGGGGGAAAAGGAGGGGATTATTTCGTCGCGGCATAGATTGAGGCCGAAGTTGGAATCGAGTGGATGATGATGAGCTGCTCCGCCACGATCCCTAATTCCGTCGCCGCCGTCGCCGTGGATGTCTCCCCTGCGGTGATAGAGAGAGAGAGAGAGAGATTTTCTGGTACGAAATTTTTTTTCCGACGACCATCGTCGACGGAGAAGAATTTTCCGGCGACAGTGCTTTGTAATGTTTGTTGACATGTTTTGTAATGTTTGTACGCTTTGTTATTTTGTAATGTTTGTAAACTTTGTTATTTTTGTACACCATGTTTATCATTTTTGTCAACCATGTTTGTAATGTTTTTTATGTCTAAAAAACAACCTGGTTGACTTTTGGATGGAACTTCTCTATATAGGGATGTAGCCTCCAAAGTCAACCCATGTGTTTTTTCCAGTTCGTATGGATTGTCGGCCTAGTTTGTCATTTTTGTCCACCATGTTCGTACTGTTTGTATGTCTAAAAAACACCCGGGTTGACTTTGAGACGGAGCCCTCTATTTAGGGATGAAGCCTCCAAAGTCAACCCGGGTGTGTTTTCCAGTTTGTATGAATTTTTGGTCTAGTTTGTCATTTTTGTCCACCATGTTTGTATGTCTAAAAAACACCCGGGTTGACTTTAGGAAGGAGCCCCTCTATATAGGGATGGAGCCTCCAAAGTCAACCCGGTTGTTTTTTTCTTTTTGTATGGTTTGTATTGTTTGTCGGTCTAGTTTGTATTGTTTGTACAGTTCATACGTTTGTAATGTTTGTGAATCTGTTTGTATGTTTTGTCTCTTTAGTTTGTACTGTTCGTA